GGAGGGGTGTGGATTTTTCACACCCAACTGACATAGTTAAACTGACCTAATTTTCTAGTGTAGACTAGGACTAGGGTGAGGGGCAGGGAGGAAACAGATCTGACAAGGAGCCAGGGGAGAAGACAAGACAAATTGGAGGTGAAGCCTGGGTAGGGAGTCTAGGAATAGGGCCCAGTAGAGATGGGGAACATGAGCGGAGAGGACCAGTGACTGGAGGTCATTCTCTTCCTTTCTCCAATCCCTTGCCTCATTCATAATACACCTTCCAACTAATGAGGTGGGGGGTTTTACAGTCTCCTTCACTACACAACGACAGCACAACTCCTGTACACTAAATGAAGCATGGGTCTTGCAGAAAAAAAACAGTATGTGATTACGTAATTAAAGACTATCAATGTGTACTCAAAGGGGCCAAATTACGGTTGCATAGGCAACTTTAATTCCAGCATCCCTAACTTTTAAGGGCTTGACTTTTCAACCTTAATAATGTTCTGAACATAGGGGGCTTTTTGTGTGCAATATCATTTAGATTGCACTAGTGCCCACAGTGGGCACTGAGAAGATCCTCCCTAACCCAAAGAGCATGCAGTTAGAGGTACAGAAGTCAGGAGATATGGGCTCAATTTCTAACTCTGCCACAACTTCTCTGATGGTAGGAAAGCTACATATGGACAGATTTTCAGAAGTATTTAGCATCTAAAGATGCATGTTCCTAGTGGTATTTTCAAAAGCCTAAACTTCAGGCATTTTTGAAAGTCTCACTAGGCACTGAGCAATACAGATAGCTGCCTAAATACCTTCGAAAATCTGTACCTTAGATGTGGTCTAGATTACTGCTTCGGTCTGGCTGTAACTCAATTTATTTCCAATTAACTTGAGTTAACAAATGTGCCTCTTTATGCTAATCTAGACACTCCATAAAAAGGTTTGTTCCAATTTGTTTCCCCCAGAGGTAACCAAATAACTTGAGTTACAACAGGACCAAAATCTGATCTATGCAAGGCCCTTAATCTGTGTTTTTGCTTTCTTGTCTGTACAGAGACTAGGATAGATACCTTAGAGGAGTGTTGGAAAACTGAATTAAATTATGCTTACCATTCATTTTAGGATCTTCCAATGGCAAGTGCCAAGAATTATTTACAGGGAAAGCTGGGATTCAGATTTAATCGGTTATGAACAAGCTTTCCTACATTGAGGTTATAGATGCAATCAACCCATATTAAACAAGTGCAGGAAACCAGTTTACAGAAGTCATGCCAGCTGCATGTCCAGTAATACATGAAACAGACGCTTCACAGAGGTATGAGGCTGGTGCAAACTCATTTAAACAGTACTGTAGCTACATTATGTGAAGTTAGGGTAGCTTCAAACCAGCACCACTAACAAAAATTTTAACTCTGGCAAATGAAGTGTAAAAATATAATTAGGAAGGCCAAAAAAGAATTTGAGACCAGCTAGCCAAAGACTCAAGAAGTAATAGCTAAACACACACACACACACACACACAAACAAAGAGTGAGTGAGTGAGTGAGTGCATCATAAGCAAGAAGCCTGCTAAATAAGCAGTGGGGCTACTGGATGATCGAGATGCTAAAGGAGCACTCAAGAATGATAAAGCCATTGCAGAGAAAACTAAATGAATTCTTTGTATTGGGCTTCATGGCTGAGGATGTGAAGGAGATTCCCAGACCTGAGCCATTCTTTTTAGGTGACAAATCTGAGGAACTGTCCCAGATTGAGGTGTCATTAGAGGAGGTTTTGGAACAAACTGATAAATAGTAATAAGTCATCAGGACCAGATGGTATTCACCCAAGAGTTCTGAAGGAATTCAAATGTGAAATTGCAGGACTAACTGTGGTTTGTAATCTATCATTTAAATAAGCTTCCGTACCAGATAACTGCAGGATAGCTAAGGTGACACCAATTTTTAAATAGGGCTCCAGAGGCGATCCCGGCAATTACAGGCCGCTAAGCCCGACTCCAGTACCAGGCAAACTGGCTGAAAATATAGTGAAGAACAAAATTGTCAGACACATAGATGAACATGATTTGTTGGGGTGGAGTCAACATGGTTTTTGTAAAGGGAAATCATACCTCACCTGTCTACTAGAATTCTTTGAGGGGGTCAAACATACATGTGGAAAAGGGGGATTCAGTGAATATAGTGTACTTAGATTTTCAGAAAACCTTGGACAAGGTCCCTCACCAAAGGCTCTTAAGTAAGCGGTCATGGGATATGAGGGAAGGTTCTCTAATGGATCAGTAACTGGTTAAAATATAGGAAACAAAGGGTAAGAATAAATGGTCAGTTTTCAGAATGGAGAGAGGTAAATTGTGGTGTCCCCCAGGGGTCTGTATTGGGACCAGTCTTATTCAACATATTCATAAATGATCTGGAAAAAGGGGTAAACCATGAGATGACAAAGTTTGGAGATGATACAAAACTACTCAAGATAGTTCAGTCCCAGGAAGACTGCAGAGAGTGTTACAAAGGGATCTCACAAAACTGGGTGACTGGGCAACAAAATGGCAGATGAAATTCAATGTTGAAAAATGCAAAGTAATGCACACTGGAATCCCATAATCCCAACTATACATCTAAAATGATAGGGTCCAAGTTAGCTGTTACCACTCAAGAAAGACATCTTTGAGTCATTGTGGATAGTTCTCTGAAAACATCCACTCCATGTGAAGTGGCAGCCAAAAAAAAAAAATCTAACAATGTTGGGAATCGTTAAGGGATAGATAAGACAACAGAAAATATCATATTGCTTCTGTATAAACCCATGGTACACCCACATCTTGAATACTGCGTGCAGATGGGATTGCCCCATCTCAAAAAAGATACACCTCTACCTCGATATAACACGAATTCTGATATAATGCGGTAAAGCGGTGCTCTGGGGGATCAAAGCAAGTTTGATATAACATGGTTTCACCTATAACGCAGTAAGATTTTTTGGCTCCCGAGGACAGTGTTATATCGAGGTAGAGGTTTATATTACAATTGGAAAAGATTCAGAAAAGGGGAACAAAAATTATTAGGGGTATGGAACAGCTTCCATATGAGGAGAGATTAATAAGACTGGGACTTTTCAGTTTGGAATAGACACGACTAATGGGGGATAGGATAGAGGTCTATAAAATCATGATGGGCACAGAGAAAGTAAATAAGGAAGTGTCATTTACGCTTTCTCATAACACAAGAACTAGGGGTCAACAAATGAAATTAATAGGCAGCAGGTTTAAAACAAACCAAAGGAAGTAATTCTTCACACAGTGCACAGTCAGCCTGTGGAACTCTTTGCCAGAGGATGTTGCGAAGGCCAAGACAGGGGTCAAAAAAGAACTAGATACATTCATGGAGGATAGGTCCATCAATGGCTATTAGCCAGGATGGGCAGGGATGGTGTCCCTAGGCTCTGTTTGCCAGAAGATGGGAATGGGCGACGGGATGGATCACTTGATCCCTGTTCATTCCCTCTGAAGCACCTGCCATTAGCCACTGTCGGAAGACAGGTTACTGGGCTAGATAGACCTTTGGTGTGACCCAGGATGGCGGTTCTTATGTTAAACTGGGGGAATCATTCCTATGGCAGCCTTGTTTATTTGTGCTGGCAAAGGACAATTTGTGAAGCCATGAAGAAGTGTTGCATTCTCCTTAATGGATACACACATACACAAGAGGACAGAGTTAATATTGCACATGCAGCACTGAACTCTGGCATGGCCTGATTTTTGAACACACACACACACACACACACGGTTGCCTGAACATACTAGCAATGTCTTTAAAAAACTGAATTACTACAACTCAGGGTAGTGCTATAAAATGTAAGTGGATGTTCACATCACAAAATCACCAACAAAATCTCATTACTGTAACACTTTTCTTTAAGATCTTCATTATTTATTAATATTACAATAGCATCTAAAGCAGCGTTTGTCAAATGCCGCCACAGTGGCTGCATGTGGCAAGTATTTTAGGAAAAATTGTCAGAGCAGCCACCGGCACTCTGAGGCCACCAAAAAAATTGTTGAGAGAACCCCTTATCTAAAGGTTCGGGCTCGACTGTGCACAGCACTCTACAGACAGCCCGGCAAAAAATTTACAATCTATACAGAGAAGACGAAGGGTGAGAGGAGAAACTGAGGCACAGAAGTGTGACATGACTTGCCCAATGTCACATAGGAGGTCAATGGCAGGGCCAGGAACAGAACCCAACAGACAGGAGTTCAGATCTAGTGCCCCATCTACCAGATCACAGTGCCTCAGAGGCATCTGTAAAGATTCTACAAAACTTCTGAATCTATTTAAAGCAGCTTTTGCAGAGGCAGGTTGGGTGAGATTCAATTTACTGAGTCAATTCATTAATTGCCAAGTATGTGTCATTGTGATTACTGTGCATGCACTTTTGACTGGCATGCACACACACGTATTTGTAAAAATCTTCCATTGTATTGATTTAAGATATTTGTAATGCAAGTACATACATTTTATTTTTAAAATAAAAAGTATTTTACATGGATGCATCCCTTTAAAATATGTGGGTCTGATTCTGCTCTAGGTGGGGTAAAATAAAGAGCAGCTCCATTAAAATCACTGGAATTATACTTGTGCAACTGGGATCAGGATGAGACCACCTTACTGTGAAGATAGCACTCACCTATCTATGCCCAAAGTTGTGGTGAGGGGGGGCCCCAAAAAAAAATATCCAAGGAACCTCTTGAAGTGACCCCTCTTACCAGAGCCTCTAGTCCAAGCTATAAGTGATCCTAACCTAAGCCATGGGAAAGGTACGAACTCCTCCCAGCCTCAGGAAAATCCCTGAAGTTTCATCAAAATCTTTTCTTTACAAAAAATAAATAAATGGATTCCATGTCCAAATCGTACTTACAGTTCACATAAAGTGCTGGAAAGCAATTCTCAATCTCTGTGTAGAGTCTATGTGTGAAGTGCAGAGCCAAGCAAATTTTAAAGAAGTGTCTCCTCAGTCATTCTAAAGGAAGAACAGCCAAAAATATATATATAAATAAATAAAAGGAGTATACGGAGCTGCTTGTGATCAGCTATGTGAGCAAAGGAAGAGTATTATCTGAGTATGAACATTATCCCAATGCTTTTGAGACATGCTCAGTAACTCTTTATAAATGCTTCAGAAGATATTGACAAACTCCTCCACAGTCAGAACTAGAGTTCTGGTTGGCATCAGCCTTTAGTCCATTTGAGTGGGGTAAGGGAAAAAAAAAAAATCCAACCTACTTCTCTCAATTTCCTTCCTTTGAGGATTCTCCTCCTCAGGTTTTCAGATTTGTGAAGAATTCTAGCCTTATAGTAGACAGATCCTACCTAAGCAACAAGAACCCTACCCCTTCTGGGCTGGAAGCATTAGAGATTAAAGTCTTCCGGTTATCAGCAGTACAGGTAAACATATCACTACACCAGCATTCTCCAAGGATGAAAGAGGAGTTCAGTTTCCATAGCTCATTCAGCCAGGTCACTCGCTCTCTCCCGAGACTAGCCACATGAGATTATAATTGCCAAAGTGCGTGGTGGTCCTTTTGAAGTAACAGCACTACTGCCCCCAAACAGCTCTCGCATCTACACTAGTGACAAACCATTATTGACATGGAATGAAACCCTCCCTGCATTTAAGTCAAGGGGACCAGGATTGTACCCCCAGATTTAATACAAGCCTAGATATGAAAGGCTCTATATACCCCCATAACCTATTTCTAAACCAATCTCTGGTCTAAACCATGAAGCTTCAAAGACAAGATCCTTCCTAGAGAAGATTATTATTATTAAGGTGCTGAACTGGTACTCAGGAGATCTGGGTTCAACCCATGGCTCTGCTACAGACTTACTGCGTAACCTTGGACACGTTACTTAATCTCTCTGTACCCCAGTGCCTTATCTATAGAATAGGGATAATAATCCTCCCCTGCCTCATAGGAGTATAATGATGTTAAACCCAAAAATAGATCTGAGGTGCTCAGATACTGCATTAATAAGGTTAATAGAAAAAACCATGCACACACACACACACACACGCTCTAAATAAAATAAGTCCTTAAATTGGCTGAACTAAAAGTTTTTTGATCAAAAAAGTCAGTTGAAAAAAAGGGACAAGTCTTTCACAATCTTAATCTTTTAGAAAAGACGAAAAAAGCAGGATAGCTGCTTCCAGATAATTCCTACACAGGTCTAGAGTTGGCACCTTTTCGTAGAGGAGAGCAAGAGTCAGGCCTTGACAACATAAACCTTGTTTTCCCTCTGCCGCATCAGGGAGAGGGAAAATAAAACAGAATAAAAAGATACCTTTTGGGAGAGACCAAACCATGCCTGGGAACATGTGCAAGAGAAATGTTAGTCACACTGCTCACACAAACAAGCTACTGAACAAGGAATGCTGAAGTATATTTATAAAGAGATGGGCCCAAATACCCCCAGACCTTAGAGAAGTTTGGATGTGACCTCCACAGCCCAGGCCCATTTCTAATACTATTCAGAAACCTTTTCTCCCCTTCTGTCACATTACTAGAGATGTCCTCATGAAAATAGCATTGATCCATCAGATTCTGCTGCTTAGTCACTACCTGAGCCCGTAATCCTGTTTGTAACTAGAGACAAGTACCCCCTCCACCCCCCACAAATTCAAACTGTAACTTCCCAAAAGTTCGGGGAGGTTTGACTCCTGGGGTGTGCTTTGGACTCATCTCTAGGATGAATTCTACATTACTCTTAACCCCCAAATTCTTAAGGGAGTAAGTGGGAATATTGGTGGCATAAAGGATACAGGATTTACTCCTCTATTTATAACATTGTGGTTGCCATAATTATGATTATAAAGTCATGCACAGGGGATTGTGACTTCAGGTGGGGATTAAGCAGCATGAAATGATGAAATCCTAGGGAACAGATTTTATTTAAGTCTCCCTAGTGATTAAATAAAAGAGGGAAGAGAAATATAGTGTAGCTAGAGCCCCTCATCCCAAAGAGTTATTACCAGTACAGAGAGAACATGATCTCTCCTGTTCTGTAATCACTAGACTAATCAGGACTTATGGATTCAGTACCATTAGCTCACTGCGAGACCTTGGGCAAGTCACTTACCCTTCTCAGGTTTCTCCCTCTGTAAAATGGGGAAAAGAAGTTACAGGTAATGTTTTGTGAGCAGAATTCTTTTTTGCCAGTGAAAAGTTCTCTTAAAAAAGTTAATAACTGGAATCAGGCAGATACAAGATACATAAAATGTAGCGTTAACGTTATTAAAAAGGAAACTTGTGAGCAAGCCAATGATGCAGAGAAAAGTTAGGAAAGCCACCAATGTTTCTGAACAGGAAAAAAAAAAAAAAATCAGAGGTCACCACAAGGTTTGATTCTTAAAGTTAGATATGAAAGGTGCATTAGATCATCTTGGCCCCTAGACTATGTAATTTCCTAATGCTTTGCCCATACCAGTTTTAAGTGCCAAAAGCAGTAGGTTTACACTATCATTAGCCCTGCAAAGCCAGTCCATGGTGGAGCAATCTGGATTTTGTTCTGCCTTGCACATTAAAAATACAATTATCAGTTGATGTCTGATCGCAGAATCTTTATGACAGGTGATGCTGTAAGATGCAGAAAAACAGCTTGATTTACAGATGGAGTTAAAAATATTAATACAACCCTTTCAAGTCTCAGTATTCACAGACCAGCAAAACTTAAGACTAAGCATGTGAAAATGCTGAGGAAAACATCCTTTAGAATAATTTATTCTGAGCCACCTTTTCTAAAAAGGCAAATATGATGCAGGACTCTTGCAAAGGATTTGTATTCCTCAACATTTTGAAAGGAATGCATGGCTCACATGCTCTTGAATCCACTGTGTCCACTTTCTGGAGGTGTACGGTGGTGGTTTCAGTAAGGAAGGGAAATTTTAGACGTTAAGAAATTAAAGCGAATGACAAAAAGGATACCGTTAATCTAGAATCAAGCAAAGTCTGCAAAAACAGCTAGGTTCTCAGACATTTCATTTCAGCTTGCTGAAATTCCAAACGGACTTTGGGGAATGGTAGCCGGTCAAGGCCAATATAATAAGATTGGCACTATAACTAGCCTTATACAGGGGTGTGCTCATTAAGGGTATTTTTGAAAGTACCTTTTCATCCTCCGCACAGCTTCCAGGCTACTGACCAGAGTCCTGCTGCCGCTTTGCAGCCCTCCACCTGATTATGCACTGAATAGGCTGGGGCACCGGAGCTGATGCCCCACATGGATCTAGCAGAGCTATTTGATTTAATTAACATAAAACGGAGCACAGAATTGAAGTGACAGTACATTTGGTTTCTCCTATTTCCAGAATGGGGTAATGACCCACTGGCAGAGCTGCCTCTACTGGGGACTTCTGACCGCGTCTTCATCTCTTAGGGCCTGATCCTACAAGAAAGAGGCTCAGCATTCTCAGTTTTCAGTGAAATCAATGAGAGCTGAGGGTAACCAGCATCATGCAAGAGTGAGCTCTGAGATAACTACTAGTAAACACCACAGTGGCAAAACAGAGACTCGAGACATCTGAATGCAGGCAGTCATACAAAAAAATTCTCTCTGGATGTCTGCTATTCACCTTTCCATCTCAACCTAGAACTTGGTGCAGGCCACCAAGGAAGGAAGGATGGTCCAGTGCTTAGGGCAAATTCAATTCCTTGGTCTGCCACAGACCCAGTCTGTAAAATGGGGACAATAGCACTGCCCTACCTCACAGGGGTATTGTGGTAACTACATTGAAGATTATGATGTGCTCAGAGTACTTATGGCCCCAATTACTGTAATTAGATAAACAATGCAGCTGCTTGGCAGCTCCAGACAGGCTGCCACTGGGCAGGATGTGGAACCCTAGTTAATAACTGGGAAGTAAAAACTGGATGGTAGTGACCAAACAGAAGAGGCACCTCCCAGACTCTATGCTACCCCAGATGATAGTTGTGTGTTTCATGTACCATGGAACATGAAATAAAGATACACAGCTGGCTACTGCAATTCACATGCGAGGCATGGGAGTGGGGCAATTCACCTGATAAAAGTAGCAGAGATCATGATTTTGTTAGTATAACAGGACAGAGAACCATATGGCTTGGTTTAAGAGTTTGATAACAGGATACAGAGATATTCACCCCCATATTACCAGTAAAATCTGGGATCTTTATGAAAGGTAACGACATAAGTCCAGCTTAGCAATTGACCAAAAGTTGTTGCTGTTCACCAGTCTGGTATGTGAAGCGAGCTGGTGGGTCCCTCTCCAATTCATAACTGGTGCCCACATCAGACAAAACACCATCATGATTTGCACTAACTGACCCATCTGGTCAGCTGTTCCAGCAAAGGGGTCAAGGATTGAATGGGACATGGAGAATGAACTCTTTTGACCCCCCTCAACATGGCCATTTTGGGTCACACATTAGGCACGTTGGCTGGAGAGCTTGCATTGCTGCTACTCATGCTATAACTGTCCTACGAACAGAGGATTTCACTCTTCCAGGATGTCTATCAAGTTAATACCTTTCAACAATACTGGAGGCAGATTTAATTTTAAAATTAAACACCACACTGGCGAGAACAAGCTATCTAGCTTGAAATAACTAATAAATTGCTCTAATTCCTCTTTGCTTACTGGCTATTTAAAATGTCCAATGGGAGCCAAACCTTAATAAACGGGAACACACCGGGGAGAAAACAGAATTATTGAACTGCAACAAATTGAAGAAAGTCCACAAGATTAGGGAGGTATTAAAATTCTGGATCCCCCAGCTAAAGCCAGGAAAGATTTTAAAAACCTCTTTGCATTGGAACCAGCTTAAGAAGAAAAGAAAAAAAAAAAAAGCACAGCAAGAGGGAAGAAAAGTTATGAATGGGATAATAAAACTGGTAAGCTTTTGACAGCATGCTGCTGTGAGTAGGGATAGAACCAACTTATGAATAAGATAAAAAACATAAAAAAGGAGGGAGGGACTGACTATA